CGCCTCGATGGCATCAGCGGCCGCTCGAACCAGTTGAATTCTTAGCCGTCGGTTTTTAATCTCGAAACGCGCGGGATCCATCGCGGGCTTACGAGCACCGAAAAACGCCGGGCCGCGGATTTATGGAAATTGTCCCGGCGGGGGCCGGAGGGCGAGGCGGGTCACGGTTGCACGCGACCGGGGAGGAGCCACACGCACGCACCACACCGGCGATTTTAATATCCGCGAATGATAAACAAAGTGGTATCTAACGAAGTGGATAGAGGCGCACCGTAATAAAATTTGCGTTGCGCTTCGTCGCCGTCCGAGCAGAGGGAAACGTCACGAGCGGTTTCCTCCGATTTCAATTAGCCGCGGCGACCCTCCTCTGTACACGCGGATCCCGCTCCCAGGAGCCGGAACGAGGACAGTGAATAGGCCGAGGAACGTTTTCAACCTGGCATTTATTTATTCTTCAGCCGCGATACAGGTGTAGCGATCCCTCCGTCGCGATCGTTTCGTTGATCTCGCTGTTGATCAGATTCGAAATGGTACTCTTGTGAGAGATCATGATTAGCCAATCAGTCATTCTTATTTGAAGACTTAACCGAGAATGATAGAAGCAAATGTATATCAGCACCTTTATAGAAAGTGAAAGAATCTTCGAATTAGGGAATTTCTGAAGTAAAAGTTTCAGAATAATCCGCGTTATCTGTGACAGAAATCTCAGCGCGGAGATGCGGATCAAAATCGACGGCCAGTGAAAAGAGTGGAGGTGATAAGCCTCGATATCTCGAGCTACACCCTCTACGCGAGATGTAAGCTCCGCCTATCCCTGGGTTACACCAGGACTTCCAAGACCCCCGTGGTACCCCCCACCCTCGGAAAGGGGGATAACCCAACCCCCGTTCCATCGTCGTTGGCATCCGCGGCATTCCAATTAGCTCGCGAATCAAAAGAGCCCCACTGCCTTTGTGGGGTCTCACCCTACCTCCAGTAAACTGTCTCCTTTCCTCTTCCACCCCCTCCCTCTAGGCTCCCTGCCGCGCGCACGGTTTCACTTCTCTTTCGCCGTGGCCGCTGTTCGTCCCTTTGTCCTTCTCTTTCGCCCCGATCGTCCTCCCGGCCTTCTTCCTTCCACGTTTCCCCGTTTCCGGTAACTGGTCTCCCTCTTTGATTCTTCAATTTTATTTCACGATACGATCGCGTTCTGTCGCTCCTCCGAATCGAATTTTCGAGTCGCGGGAAATTGTTTACGCGCGTTGCCCGACAGCCTGTTATCTTCGTTCGCGAATTTTTCTGTCCTTCGGTTTCTTTCTTTTATTTGTACGATCTTTCATTTTCGACATTTATTAACTTTCCGTCGATGGAAGCGGAAAAGATGATTTCGGTGAAATATTGTTGTTGTTCGAATACTTTTTAACCCTTAACGCGATCGTCGAGATGTGTTCATAGAAGAACACTGAGGCAATTGTAATAATTTCCCTTGATTAATTAGTATGTTAGCGATAAAATGTGTTATCAGAAGAATCCACGGTCACTTTAATCCCTTAGCATCCCTTTTCTCCACTCATTTTCTGAAAGTCTCAAATCTCATTATTTCAGCCTTCAAAGCCAGGTCGTATAGATCCGCGAATCGCTAAAGGACTGTACGAACGACGCTGGGACTAAAGTAATGTTAATTCGAGTGTCATCGGAGTTAACAACATATTAGGGCCCGAGCATCGCGTTCCCGATCGATATCACCAATGTCCCCGCGCGATAGCGAAGTCCGTACGATTCTCTATCGAAGGTTTGCTTTCTTTGTAGCCCTTTGACATGGGTCGACGGCTAATTTATCACGGCGACAAAAGGGGTGCACGTAACGAGCGAATATTAGTTACCAACGTCATCCACGTCAGATTTTTCCATACCGGAATTACGCGGGTCGAGCGACGCGTGTATGTGCGATCAACGACTACTACTTCATCCCCGTTTTCTCGATTGTCGTTCAGTTCATGCTACCCGGTATTATCTTGCATCATATCAAGCATGTGCTTCAAATCTTGAGGACATGCGTTAGTATTAGCATGAAGCGGATCAATTCTCTCGCGACGTTATAATGGTGACAATGATAGCGTGTCCGATGACAGTTTTTAAGGGGTGAAAAAATTTCGAAGTGTTTAGACGGTTGTGACAAGTTCAAGAAATTGTATATAAATCGATATTTTAATGAAAGGTTTTCAAAATTTTGTAAGGATTACTTAATGGTTCGTAAAGTAAAAGAATTATTGAGGATTGATTAAATGACGCGATTGAAAAGTTGAGAAACTTATCGTTAATTTAATAAATCAGCTCCCGCCGCGTTTTTCTGTGGAACGATAGCCGTGATTCCAGCTCGAACAACCTTCCGCTCCCTCCAGAGTTCCGCCGCAACAAATAATACCCGCTTTCAACGCTCAGATATAATAAAGATATTAAGTTTAATTGAACAAAGCGCGCTGCTCCGGCGCGCCACGAAAACGCGACTGAGCCTTAGCACGTTATTAATATTTAAACAAAAGCTGCGGCGGGATCTTTCGCCTTTGTGGCCTGGCAAAAAGCAACCCCTCTTAGCGGCGGAACGAATAAAATCCCAGAAAGACCGTGAGACACAGCACTAATTAATTACTACCGATTATTAGGAGGAAAAAAGCCGCCGGAGGGAGGTCCGCCCCGGCTTAATTGTTGTCTTACCATTCTCGAGTGAAACACTTTGCTTGCATTCTTCTATCCGCTGGAAATGAAAAATCTTCATCTGTAATTGAGATTCTAACAACTTATTTACGGAACCATTAATTACCATTACCATATGCTCCCGTTTTTGCGTTAATCGAACCTCTCAAAAAATCCAGGCCCGATTTTCCAATCGAAAGCAAAGTTAATGAATGAAAATTCAATATCGAATCTCCACCTCAAATTCAACTAAAGATTGCAAAGGGGTCGATCGGCGGAACTCAACTGAAAAAAAGTGATTAAGCGTGGCGGGGTGAAAGAACAGCGACGGACATACAGATTCGAGGGATTTATTCTTTCGTAACATGTACGCTGAACGTGTACGCCAAGAAAACACAGCATTGTTGGGTTGTCACGTATATACAATTTGATTTTGTGCGCCGGTGCCTGTGGGTTTGGGGGTGAGGGGAACGGTGCTCAGAGCAAAGACCATCCATACACCGAAGACGGGAAGCGGAGGGCACGTCGAACTCTAGTCGGTTTAGCTTCTATATGTACAACTCGTGCTACTAGTGCTCTTACGAAATCACGGGGGACGCGCGGCAACATCTACACGGCTCGAGGACAGTTACAAAAATATATATTACACAACGAGTGAGGGGCGAGGGCGGGTGGTATTGTTAAGGGTTGAAACGATCGAATAATATTACTATATCGCGATACAG